AAATTTTTTGTCGATGATAATATCAATGAGATTCGAGAATTTTGATCTTTTATTAGATTCCAATAAACAATTGATCCACAGCAAAATAAGATGAATGTTTTTGAAATGTTGACTAAATTTTTTATGGAAAATAAATAAGTAATTAAAATGTGAATGAAAACAAATTGCCAAAATTGACAATACCTTTTTGAAAAATGTTGCTACAAATCTGATAACCACAATTTGGACATTCGATACTTGATGATGATTGTGGTAATGAAAATTCAAACGAAAATAATTCAAAACCTTTGCTTAGTGGATTCATTTTTTTTCTTGAGGATTTTAACGTTGTTTTCTTTTCATCAAACTTGGATTAACACAACGACTTGCATTAGCCAAGATTTTCAAAACGAATGATAATTCATATCATTAATAATTTATTTTTGTGTGTTGCATATATTTTTTCAATCATCAAATATGATCAACAAAATGAACAATTTTAATGAAGAATTATTATTGCCAGTCATGGTCATGGCAAGTTTTTTTCAATCTTTTTTAATTCAATATAATATACCTGCTGATGGAATACAATGAATACAATACAATGCAATAAAATGAATGAATGAATGAATGGTTTGTATTTATTTCGTTGTCCTAATTCATTTCAAAAGAGTAACGACAAAAAAAAAGTAAGCCAACCGAATAATTTGCAATGTCGAAATGGTAATCTGGTTTTATTATTATTTTATTGGATCATAGAAAAATCCATTTGAGTCAGTAAATATTGTTTCTTTTTGTTTTGTTTTGAATGTCAACTGCATGGAGATTTTTTTTTTTTTTTTTGATAAAAAAATTTAATGGATAGCATGCTGCCATCTAGTGACGATTATTTATAAACACAAACCAACCTAACCTCACTCGACCATAAATCATAGTCATGGTCATCAACCTAACCTCACTCAACCATAAGTCATAGCCATCAACCTAACCTCACTCAACCATAAATCATAGTCATAGTCATCAACCTAACCTAACTCAACCATAGTAGAAAAAAACTGAAATTTTTTTTTAATATTCTAAAATTATAAATTATCATATTTAATTAATTAATTAATTCAATTATAATATGTTAATTTGAATAATTAATTTGAAAATTTGAAAAATTACTTATATAAGTAATCAAATCAAAATATCAATACAAAAATACAATAACCATCTTAATAATAATAATAATAATTCTTGTTAGTGTGATTAAAATACATAATCAGATTTCAATGAATCTCAAAAATGTTGTTTCAATTTTTTTATAATTATTTCTTGTAATTGTAATTGAGATCCTCTTTATAAAAAAGTGTTTTTTTGTCGTTATTATTATTATTATTATTCGATGAAATTATAAAATTGAATGAAAAGAAGAGAAAAAAAATTTAATTCGTCAGTGGTTAGCACATAATCTTTGTGTATGTTTTTTTTGCTGTTGAATTATGATTGTGTAAAAATTATCAAATTATTTTTTTTTTCCTGTTTTAAAATGTTTTCATTCAGCACAGCACAAATGAACATTAATACAAAAGAAGAAGAAATTGAAGAAAATTGGATACAAATGAAGAAGATGCCCACATTAGCACAACAATGAAATTGGGATAATCTTTTTGCGAAATGAAATGAAATGCTGCCCGAATAATATATATAGTGGTGGTGGTGATAAGCCAGTTAAAGTATCGGTGTGTGTGTGTGATATATTGGTCCAAAATGGTTGTCGAATATTTGTCATTTGTTGCTGTTTGAGGTAAAGTTAAAGTGTGTGTGTGTCTATATTTACAACATTTAAACACAGAATTGATGATGTGGAAAATTTAAAAAAAAAATGGAATGTATTTCGCTGTCAATCATTCAAATATGGCAGATTGATTTGTGATTTGAATAAATTTACAAATGAAAAAAAAATCTCAAGAAAATACATAGAATTTTACGAGAAAAACATACACATACACACATAGCACATCAGGCACAAATGACCTTTTTGTTTTGTTTAGCTAAAAATTTTATCACTCTATTTTTTTTTTGTTAAAAATATCAATATGATGATGATGATGATGAATGGATATTGTGTTTTGTTTTGAATGAGAATTTTCAATGATGAAATAAATACTTTGTTTTGTTTTTTTGGAAAAATGATATTGTTAAGTGGATGTATTTGTTTGTAAGTGTAAATGTGTTGCGGTTGTTGTTGTTGTTGTTGATTAGATCGGATTTGTATTAAACAATTCTTTCCAACGTGATTCAAAAAATGCACGTAATAAATGACCAGCTTGTCCAACTGGTGATTCATCTTCATTGAATGTAACACAATTATCAAACATTAATCGTATGTCGGCAGCATAATCTTCTTTGGTTTTATAACTATGGAAAAAAAGAAATTGGAAATTTTCAATTAATTCAAATCATTTTCAAATATGTCAAAATGTTTTTTTTACATTACCTATTATTTTGTAATTTATTTTTAATAACAGTAAAATCCATTGGTTTTTTAATAATCTTACGATATGTTGGAAAATGTTTTGTATTAACTGGTTCAAGAAATGGCCAACTAGTTTCATGTTGTATAATTTCCTCAGTAATTTGTTTACAAAGTATAATTTCATCATTATGGATTGTTTTTGTTGTTGTGGAATTATTATTGTTGTTGTTGCTGTTGGATAAATTTTGTTCATCCATAGCCATCATACTGTTACCATTATTATCATTATTATTGACATTTGATTCTTTTTCCAAAGATTTTTTATTGCTTATCTTTTCACTTTTTTCTAGTTTTTCTTTTTCCGAATGATCTTCATCCTTATCCTTATCTTTATCTTGTTTTTTCTTCGGTTTTCTTTCTTTTTTATGGCTCGAAGTATCTTTTTCCGATCGATCTTTTGATGAATTTCCATTCGACATACGTTTATTATTTGATTCTCTTTGATTTGAATCTTTATTGTTTGAATCATAATTTTTATCATCATTATTTGCGGTTGATTCTGATTTTGATGATGATTTTTTCGATGATGACGATGATGATTTTGTATTAGAATTTCGTTTATTTTTACGCATACATAAATGACAAATCCATCTGCCTTTGATTTGTCTTTATTAAACAAAAAAAAATCGAATTACAATTTAGAAAAAACAACAAAAATATAAAATAAGCAGACTTACTTGTTAACAGGTGGATCCAAACAATTTGGATGAAATACTTTAGCACATGTATCACAATTAAGTAGTTTACCTTTTTTACCACAAACAATGCAAACTTTATCGATTGTATTCTAGGATTTAAATGAAAAAAAACAAACAAAAAACGGAGAAAAAACATTACCATCATTGAAATGTATGCTTAATTATATAATTGCGAAAAACAAAAAACAAAATTACTTTATTTTGACAGTCATAGCAAAACCAATCGCCTGTAGGAACAGTTTCCATTTTAGGCTTGAAACAATACATATGATATCCCTTGTCGCATAAGTCACACAATAGTAGCTGGGCTTCATTTTCACCCGAGCCACAAAATTGGCAACTCTATCATTTTAAATCATTTTTTTTGGTTAATTTTTTGTTTGTTTGTTTGGTTTTGCGGATATAATTAGTTAGTTATCAAATTCAGTTCAAAAGGGAATGTGTAAAGCAACGGTCGCAGGCATCATCACATCATCATCATTCAAAGCGTTTTTTGATTAAATTAAATTCGCATTTTTAAAAAAGAAAGAAGAAAGAGACAAGAGAGAGAGAGACAAGTGTTAAATATATCAATCAATCAAAACAAAGCTTTTTTTTCGAAGCTAAAATCAAATCAAAAAGGAAAAAACAAATTGAAAAAAATAACACTTACCGCTCTCATTATTGATTTATCCCAAGCAATACAATTTTCAAGAAAATGTAAACCCATTGCAATTTGTGAACAACATTTTGCTTCACGTGCTGCATCACGCCAACGTATCAAACCGGCCGTAGCATTATCATCATTTGCAAATTCATTATAATCACAATCACCATTACTATTATCGTTCGTTTGAAATTGTACAGCTTGATTATTTTTAAAACCTAATGGTGGTTTAAGATATCTTCGTTCAATTGTTGCTTCAATTTCTAATAATTTTTCTTTCTGTACTCTTAACAGATCATAATCACCATTATCATCAGTACTGAATATAATCATTGTTGATCCACCTGAATTTTCACATTGAATTGAATCATTACTACAATCACTATTTTCATTATTACGTTGATTTTTACGATTTTTACCATTTTTACTCGATTTAGATGATTTGGTTTGATTTAATTTTGATTTAAAATCTGAACTTGAAAATTTATTCGTTGGTTTCCAATTACGCATTTGCATACTGCATGACAAAATTTTCTCTTCAAATGCTTCAATCAATTCCAATACTTGTAGATCTTTACGAAAAGCAACTTCATGACAATAATCTTTACCTAAACATGAACGATGTGGACAACGATTTTCGGTTGGTGCACCAAATTCTCTCCAATCCGATGCATCACGATCATAATCACCAACATCCAGATTTGCAGTAGAATTTCTACATGATTGTGTTGCATAATTTAAATGTTTTATCAGATATTTTTGTAGATTTTTTTCTCGTTGACCATTCGTATGTAATAATTCAATCATTGATTTTAATTGTACACTGTCGGTTATACGCCACCAACCAAATTGATATTCACGTGGTATTTTATTTGCTTTTTCATATTGTAATATTTTCCATAATTGTATTCGTTTTTGTAATGTTGGACAAACAATTATATCTGTTTCAATAACATCACTATTTGGAAATTTTGTTATTGATGCACTACGTGCAAATGATGATAATATTCGTATTAAACAATCTTTTAATATTGTACAATCAATATTTGTTTCATTTCCTTTAAATAAACAATCTAATGTTTCTTTTGATAAAAATGTTGTTAATGCTTTTTCCATTTCGGACATTGGTTCTTCTTGAATTTCGGTAACAATTGCTTCTTCTTCACAATCTTCATTTTCACCTTTTTCCAAATCTTCTTCTTTCTTCTCCTTTTCTTCTTTATCCTGTTGTTGATCATTATTATCTGGTTCGGTATCAGTTTCAGTTTTTTCTTCTTCCAATGTTTCTTCATCTTTCTCTTTTTCTTTTTCTTCTTCGATTGGCACCATCGGTTCATCAACATTATTAACAACTTTTTCAATTGATTCATCACATTCAAAATCTAAATCTAAATCAAACCATCTTACATCATCAACATTTATTTGTTCACATTGTTCCACTGCTGCTGCTACTGTCGATTGATTATTTTCATCAATTTGTTCAGATTCAGATTGTTGTTCTTCTTTCTTTTCAACCATTGTTTGATTAGTTTTATCCATTCCATCATCATTCGATTCAATTTTGATCGAATCATTTGTTTCCATTTTTGTTTCAATTTCCATTGATTTTTCATCATTATTAACTTGTTCATCACCATCAACAATTGGTTTTTTCTCATTATCATCATCATTATTTTTGGTTGATATATCTGGATCATCATTTTCTTCTTTAATTTTTGTCGTTTTTTCATCTGTTTGTTTATCAACATTATCGTTATCATTATTTACAGATTGTTGTTGTTCAGTTAATTCCGATTTATTAATTTCTCCATCATCACCATTGGTTGTAATAATGGTTAAATCTTGATCCATTGGTTCATCATTAATAGCATTTTTCAGCGCATTTTCCATTTCAATTTCTTCTTCAGTCCAAATATTATTGGGCAATTCTTCTGGTTCACCGGATTCCATACCTTCAACAAAAACACCACCACAATTTGGTAATACCCAATACGTACGACGATATCTATCTTGACCCAATGGGAACACACGATATGCATTCAATGCTTTATGCATTTTATTATTCATCTGATTACATTGTTTATTTAATCGTTCAATTTTTTTATCAATTTCTTCATTAGTCATATTAACATCATCATCAAATTCAATTGGTGGTAAATTGATTGTCGTCGTCGTTGTTGCGGTAACCGAATTCGATAAAGTAGCAGCACTGACATTTGTATTGCTTTCATCATTATCACTGATTACAGTGCTATTATTTTCGCCAGTCGTTGTATCTTTATCACCGGTATTGGTGGCCATGTTTTCACCACCATTTTCACCTGTCATCGTTGTAGTTGTAGTCGTTGAAGATTGATTCGTATTTGCATTATCTTTTTCCTGTTGTAATAATATTTGTTTAGCTTTTTCCTCTTCCATAATTCTTTCACGACGCATTTTAACCAAACGTAATTTTCTAATATCATTTTCAATACCCCATTTATCTTTTTTATAAACAGTAACACTTTCAATACTATCATCAATTTGTTTAACAATTGCCTGATTACATAATAATTCATTACAAAGAAAAACTAAAATATCCAATTTTGTAATAGCATCCAATGCAATATATGTAATACCATTGCAAAGTTTTTCATGTAATTGACATTCAATACGATTTGGTTCATCTTCTTCACGAACTGCATTACTAAATGCAAAAAAATATAATCGTAAAATTTCCGTAACATTATGTTCGGTTACAGTTGCATCTTTTAATTTTTGTCCCATCAATGTAGTCATATTATTTGGCATACCCGGATCTTCAATAGCACAAATAACCAAATGATTAACAATTGACATTAATTCTTCTTCAGATTCACTATCCAAATTTAATAAGGCCATCATTAATGAATTTAATGTTGGTAAACTATCAATATCGAAACCAATAGTTTCACCAAAATTATAAAGAAATTCATAAACCATTAATAAATCGGCAAATGCTTTACCAGTCAATTTTTGTCCTGGTATTCGATTAAATATCGGTAAATTTTTATGATCTTTTAACATCATATCTTCGACTGGTTTTTTCAATTCTTTCAATAATTCCACTTCCAATACACGTTTCAATAGTTTACGTTCTTGTAGGGCAACTTTTTCCAAACTTAATTCTTCTTTTTTACTATCACGATCTTCCGATGATTTTAATTCATTCAATGCATGTATAAACATTTGATGTTGATTAACACGTTCATGTTCAATTTCGGCCGATATTTTTAATTGTTCTTGTTTTTGTAATTCCAATAATTTTTCCTGATGTTCTTTTATCTGTTAAATATTTGATATTTTAAAAAATTTATCAACAAAATCAATTTTTTAGACAAACCTTTCGCAATTCTTCTTCTTCTTTTTCTTTCAATTCTCGTTGTTTTCGTTCAAGCTTTTTGTTGAAAAAAACAAAAAAAAAAAATTAAAAAATTTTAACATTAAAAACAACCCACACTCTCACCTCTTCTTGTTGTTTTTTCAATAATTTTTCATTTCTTGCTTGTTCATGTCTTTCAGTTGATTTACGTTTAGTTCCTCTTATCGATGCTGCTGGTGGTGTAATCTGCTGGGGATTTTGTATTGTTATCGTAACCGATGGTTCAAATTCATGATTTTTATTATGAAGATCATTTTGTTGTTGATGAACAGATGATGTTTTACTTCTTGTATTAAATCCTTTAATAGAATCATAAACATTTCTTGTACCACCACTATCACGAACACGTTTCTTTTTTTCTGGTGCAATATTTTGATGATGATGATTACTATTAATCTGATTTGATTGTTGATGATGTGATGATGGAGGTACTGCCGTTATACTAGTTGAAGATAAATCTAAGTTACGAATTTTGCTCAATTCTTCCAGATGGACTTTCATCTGATTTTCGCTCAATATGACCTAAAACAAACAAAGAAAATCATATTTTAAAATTTCATAGAAGAAAAAAAATTCTGGCAAACTTACATCACTTGGTAATTGTGCAATGTTTGGAATAAATTGGCCAATAATAATATTGGGATCAAAGCTAAAATTTTCACGATTCAAATTGATCATATTATTTTTGCTTAAATATTTTATCAAATCTTGATAACTTTTTAATTTCTTTTTACATGGTGCCAAATAAATAACATCACCTTCGATTGTTCCCGTTTTAGAAAAACCCGTTATATAAGTAAAACGTTGAAATCTATGAATTTTTTTTTAAATAAAGAAATGAAATGAAATAAAATATGAATAATATACATTGAAAAATTGAACACATACCCATGATTTAAAGGAATACGAATCTGTTTATCGCTTGTTGAATTTGTTGATGATGATTTATGATGAGCAAATGAATTTTTATTCATCAAACTACCACCGGAAGATTGATCACCAATAAAATTTTTAGCAACAGCAGCAGGTAATGATGCAAGAAAATTAGCCTGCACTTGATCAGTCAATTCTTTATGTGCCGAAAATAAAGCCGGATCAATAAATTTCGATGATGATGATGATGAGGAAGAAGTTGTTGATGATGATGTATGTTTATTATTGATATTATCATTATTATTTGCTGTTAATGAAGCGGCTGCTGCAGCCAATTCAATTGGATTTTTTAAATTTCCAAACAAATTTGCATTCAATAAATTTGGATTAAGTTTTTGTAAAATATTAAATTGATTGACAGCATTATTGAATAATTGATGATTAGCCAATTGATTATTACTGGCACCACCGGCAGCAATTGCAGCCGCTGCTGCAAATGATAATGCATTGAGACCAGGAAAATTCGGTAAAATTCCATCATTTGCAGACGCTGCCACTGCAGGAGTATTAAACAAATTAAATGGATAAGTATTTTGATGAAAGGCACTGGTAGCTTGTTGTTGTTGTTGCTGTTGATTAATAGCCGATACGGCTAATTTTGAATTAGTCAAACTATTTTGATGGGCATTGTGCGGTGGTGATAACGTTGGTGGACGGCCACGTTTTCTTGGTTGCTGTAATTGTTGCTGTTGCTGCTGCTGCAGTTGTTGTTGTTGAAGATGAACTTGTTGTTGATGATTAAATGCAGCCAATAAATTACCAAAACCAGCAAAATCAGGTAATGATGGTAATGATGATGATTGTTGTTGTTGTTGTTGTAATGATGATGATGATTGTTGCGTTAGATGTGGCTGTGGATCACCATATGCCATCAATGATGATGATGTTGATTTTGGTTTTCGTCCACGTTTCTTTTGTTGTTGTTGTTGTTGATGTTGAGGCTGTTGTTGTTGTTGTTGCGATATCAGACTATTATTAAATTGTAATTGTTGTAGCTGAGAATTTTGTTGTTGTTGTAATTGGGCTAGATTTTTGACTAAATTCAGTGTATGAGAATCTGATAATTGTTGTTGTTGTTGTTGTTGATGGTGAACATTGAATTTATTATTATTGCTACCAAAATTATTTGAAGACAATGATGTGGATGATGATTGAGATGCTGATGATGATGATGATGATTTTTTTACACATAAATTTAATGGAATTGAAGAATCATCTTCATTATTCTTTGTTGTTGTTGTTGTTGTCAATGCAATTGGCATTGGCGCTTGTTTTGTTGATAGATTCATTATATTATTACTATTACAATTATTATTGTCAATATTATTATTAATCAATTCATTTATATTGTCATTGACAATTTGTTTTGTTTTCAATGTTTTCGTTGTTGTTGTTGTTGTTGTACCAATATTTAAAGAATTTCTATCATTAATATTGCCAATATTTGTTGTTGTTGTTGTTGGATCAAAATTTATTGCCGTAAGATTAGCACTATTTTGCTGTTGTTGATTTAATAATAATGCAGCAACAACATGTATAGGTAATGATTGTAATATTGAATCTTCTTGTTGTTGTAATTCTTGTCGTTTAGATTTTCTTTTATTATTACGATTATTATTTACAACACTACCATCATCATCATTATTCGTTGTACGATTCATTCGATTTTTCATTGAATTTCGTTGCTGTTGTTTACGTTGAATTTTTCCTTTTGTTGTTGTTTTCTTTGATAAATTTTTTCGAGATTTTTTCTGTTTATCACCATCAACATCTGATAAATACTGATCATTTTTTAAACAATAATTCAATCTAATCAACAACAAAAAGAAAAAATTAAAAAAAACTTAACAAAAATCATTCAAAAGAAACTTACTTATTATTCAGAAATATATTTGTATCTAATGTTGTTGTTGTTGCTGTGTTTGGAAGAAAAAATTCGAACGTTTCATTATTATTCGAATTGGAATTTGATTGATTCAATGTTGTTGTTGTTGATGTTGGTGATAATTCTTTCAATAAATGTTCATATAAAATTGAACGTGGTTTTGATGATGATGATGATGATAAAAATAAAGAATCGGTTGAATCTTTATTCTGAATTAGATTCGTATTATTATTATTTTGAAAAAATGATAAAGTGGAGGACGGTAATGTCGTAATTATTTGTTGTTGTTGTTGTTGTTGTTGTGATTGATTATTATTTTCAACAACAAACAAATTTTTTGTTGTAGAAGATGATGATGATGATGATGAAAAAGAAGACGTTGTGGATGTTGTTATTGAGGGCGGAGGTTTTTGTTGTTGTTGTTGAATATTTTTCACTATTTTTGTTGTTGATGATGATGATGATGATGCTATTACATTTATAGCCGAATCATTTTCAACATTATTATGATCATCGTCTTTGTCGTTATTTGTACATTTATTGGTGGTGGTGGTGTTGATAGTGCTGACTAGACTTGAATAATCTTCTTGTTGTTGTTGTTGTTGTTGATTGCGACGATAATTACGATGATGATGTTGATGTTGATGAAAACTTTGGTCTTTGATATTTTGTTGTTGTTGTTGCGAATGATTTAAATGATCAGTTGTTACTGTTGTTGTTGAAGATGAAGGCAAAGAATTTGTTGTTGTCACAATATCATCATTATGTTCGGTAATAGCATTTACAGTCGCAATAGTCGCAATCGCATTAGTTTTAGCCGCTTCACTCACATTACCATCGGACGACAATACTGATTGGTCAAACACTGATTCAGGTAAGAGAAAAACAAAAAGGAAATTTTTTTTCAATTAATCAATGTTTTTTTCGGGGAAAAAAACCAAAAGTAAAAAAAAAAGAAAATAAAGAAAAGGAAAATCCCAAGAAAACGTTTTTCTTCTTCTACACCTCCGTCCGGTTGTATTCAAATCAAAACTCACTTGGTGAAAATTTTTTGTTTTTGCCTGTCTCTTCGTTTCGTTGTTTATGTCAAAATCGAAACATTCTTACATCATAATTGTTGTTATTTGAATTTGATTTTGATTGAAAATTCAGTGAGTGAAAAAGTGATAAAAGCGTAAATAGAAAAAAGGGAAATGCTTGTTCGGATTTCTTTTTTTTCAAAAAAGAATAAACGAGTGAGAAGGGAAAAAAAGAAAGAAAAAAGACATAGAGAAAGATAAGAATTCAAGAATTAGTAATTTAAGAATTTCTATGGTCTATGGTTTTTGAAATTTGGAATCATTTTGGAGAAAAGAGAATTGCAGGACATGTTTTACATACAGAAAATTTACAAAAACTAAACTAAAATTTGCCAATAAAATCCACAACTTACCTTCTTAACGATGAATTTGTCACAATTATTGGTTATGGTATCTTCAATTTGAAAAAAATGACTTTAAAAATCCTAAGAAAAAAAAAGAGACAAAACAAAATTAGAAAAATCTCAATAATCTTTCATTGAAGAATAATAATAATAATGAGAGAGAAAACCATAAACACACGCAGATAGAATATTCTTTTCTTCAAACAAAAAAACTACACACACTGAATACACTAAATAACATTGAAACTTTTCTTCTTCTTTTTTTGTTGTTGTTGTTGTTGTTGAATTTGCGTCAAACGAACAAACAAACAAACACTAAAGATGATTCATTTTTTCATTCAATTCATATAATATACGCTTTTCACACTAAACAAAACAACACATACACTGATAATGATGATGATGATATATACTTTCTATAGAAATTCATACTGAGAAAATGAAATAGAAGAAAAAAAAAACATAACTAATAACTAACTAATAATAATAAAATAGGTGGTCTATATTTTCAAAACAATCATTATTTAACACACACATTAACAACAATATTGGGGACCAAATAAAACGCGCGCTCAGATCCAACAACAACAACAACAACAACATTGATGAAACAATATTAAAAAGCTGGAAGAGAGAGAGAAAGATAGAGATAGGGGAATAAGAATAACAAAGTTTAGATAGGAAGAGAGAGAGAAAAATAGGCTCATCATCATCATCATCAACGACAATAACATCCAAAAAACGAGCAGCAGCCATTTGGATTGAGCCAAAATATCAAACAAAAAAAAAGAAAAAGATTTTTTTTTTTTTGATATTTCAATGTAATAATAACGGCTGTATAATATTATTTTGATTGTAAATAAATAAATAAAAAAATTTCGTCGTTATTTTTTTTTTTGGCTCTCATCATCATCATCATCGTTTTGTTACAAAGAAATGTTGGTTGATTTGATTTGGTTGCATTAGGAAAAAGAAATGTTTAAAACGTTATCATTCAGAGAAAACAAAAAAAATTGTGATAATGAAAAAAAGAAGAATGTTGCTTCATTTGATGATGAATTTATCAACATGGAAAAATCCCCCTTTGAAATTTCAATGGATATTTTGTTTTGTTGATATGATTCATTGGATGTGATTTCTTCTGATTTCAAATCAAATAGACTTTTTTTTGTTTTTGCAACAAAAAACAAAATGAACAAGGTCGTTTTAATCAATCTAATCACACACACATAAATTGATCTATTCGATTCAATGATTTTTTTTGTGAAAGCAGAAGAAAATCATCAGAATATCAATGACCATTATGGAAAACATATATTTTTTCTTTTTGGACAATGAACTCTATGAATGCCGGTAAACCAAAATTGAATTAATGAATGATGATGATTACATAACATTACAGCTTATATAATGAAGTATTACATAATTTCACTTGATTGAATCATCTTGCACACACACACACAATATTTTACTCGAAAAAAAAACCAAATTGAAATGATTTAAACCAAGCGAAAAAACAACAAACGAACAACAAACCTCGTTCTTTTTCACCATTTGAGCATACCAACAAACATCAAACATAGAAGATTCACTTTGATAATATGATTGACGAATTGAAACAAACAAAAACAACAACAAAAAATCAAAAAAGAATTAAAAAAAATGTTGTCTAATATGTGTGAGTGTATATACAGCAGTACACAAAGCAGTGTACAAGAGTGATTGGATTTCATTTTGATTTTTTTTTCTTTTTCTTTTTTTCTTTTTTTTCTTCATTTCACATTTCGTTCATTCATTTTCAATTCCAACAACAACAACAACAACAAATGTTGAATCATTACTTAAAGTAATGCTACTATGAAACACACACACACACAATATGAATATAGACACTGTGTGAAATGAAAAGAAACAAACGACGACAACGAAAAATGAAATGAATTGAAAATTGTGTGTTGTTGGTTAGTATTTTGGGATATAGAGAAAAAATAGGGAGAGAGAGAGAGGATACACGATGATGATGAAGCCGAAACGTCGTTGAGATTCAAAAAAANTCTATGAATGCCGGTAAACCAAAATTGAATTAATGAATGATGATGATTACATAACATTACAGCTTATATAATGAAGTATTACATAATTTCACTTGATTGAATCATCTTGCACACACACACACAAACAATATTTTACTCGAAAAAAAACCAAATTCAAATGATTTAAACCAAGAAAAAACAACAAACAAACGAACAACAAACAAACCTCGTTCTTTTTTACCATTTGAGCATACCAAACACACAAACATTAAACAAAGAAGATTCACTTGGATAATTGACGAATTGAAACAAACAAAAACAACAACAAAAAAATCAAAAAGAATCAAAAAAAATGTTGTCTAATATGTGAGTGTATATACAGCAGTACACACAGCAGTACAAGAGTGATTGGATTTCATTTTGATTTTTTTTTTCTTTTTTCTTTTTTTTTCATTTCACATTTCGTTCATTCATTTTCAATTCCAAATACAACAACAACAACAAATGTTGAATCATTACTACACTTAAAGTAATGCTACTACACACACACAATATGAATATAGACACTGTGTGAAATGAAAAAGAAACAAACGACGACAACGAAAAAAAAAATGAATTGAAAATTGTGTGTTGTTGGTTAGTATTTTGGGATATAGAGAAAAAATAGGGAGAGAGAGAGAGGATACACGATGATGATGAAGCCGAAACGTCGTTGAGATTCAAAAAAAAAAAAATGATGATGATGATGAACAAGGAGAGAGAGAGAGAAAAGAAAAGAAACAAAACAAAGAAATTGTGGAACACTAAACATACATACAACACACTAAACCGAATGTGAAATAAGAAAAAAACCGATCAACGAAATAACAACAACAACAACAACAACAACAGGACATTTTGGTTGATGAAATGAAATGAATGAAAAGAAAAAAGTTCATGTCAGGCTATCAAATTCAGTTCAGTTCGGGTGTATTTTAGGTTTATGTTCTTTTTTGATCATCATCAATAGTGGTGGTGGTGGTGGTAGTAGATCTCTCTTTGGTCTGGTTTTTTTTATTATTTCATTTCAATTTGGTTTGATGATGAAGAAGAAAAAAAAAATACCGGAGAAAAAGAGAGACAGATATGGTGTGTGTGTGAATTTTTTCTTAAATCATCATCAACATCAACAACATCGTCATTCAAAAATATGTTAAGGATGTGAATTTATTTGAATGTTTTTTCCATTCGACATTAATGGTGATGATGAAAAAGAATAGGAATAAGGAAAAAACAAAAAGATAAAGATTTACCCAAATGGAGAAAAACTGAGAATTTTATTTGGGTTTTTGTTGGTTGAAAAACCCAGAATGATGATGATAATCATGAAAAAAAGTCGTTCAATCATTTAACGGTAAATCATTTTTATTCAATCAGAAACACATAAAGAACATCACATCACCATTATGAAAGGATGCTTAAAATGATGAATTTTGTAAAACAAAACAAAAATTAAACGTATAGGTAAGAAAACAATATGATGTATGCAAGTCGATTATTATTATTATTTTTTCTATGTTTCGTATCAAACAAACACACACAGAGAGAGAACAATTGTATAATGATAATCATTCAATGATGATGATGATGAACAACAAAAAAAATATTAAGAAATTCAACATTAAAGAGAGAGAAAAACATTCGAATATTGTTGTTGTTTGTTCATCATCAAAAACATCATGATGATGATGATGATCGTCATCAACAAGCAAACAACGAAATAATCAAAAAAAACCGGATTATGATGATGATGATGATGTATGCAAGCAAATGAAATGGAAAAATATTTTTTACGTTTTTAAATAAAAAAAAAGATTCGTTGTAGTAGCATCTATCAACCGAAAAAATAGTAGAGCAGAGAATATCCCAAAATAATCACCATCTTTTTATGTTTGTTTTTCAAATATTGATTCTTTCGAAACAAGAAAAAAAAACGGTTCGGTTTTAGATTAAAAATCAATGGGAAAAAAGTAAAGAATTTCATCATCATTTCCTCCCTCTCTGTATATATTCTATGGAACCAGAATTTCTTGTTCCCCCTCTCTCTCTCTCTCTCTCTCTCTCTCTCGAATTCTATAATGATTCATGAATTCAAAAAAAAACCCAAGAAATCATAGAATACATCTACACACACACACATGTAACTAACTAGAATCAGACAACAACAACAACAAAAAAAAAATCAAAAGAATATTTCTCATTATTGCTTCTTCTTTGTCGTCGTCGTCTTGATGAGATTCTATAGATTCTCTCTGTGTGACAAGAAACAAAAAAAATCACAAACAAAAACAGCAACCAAATTTAACCAGCCAATTCCAAAAAAAAAATTTCGACTCGAATTTTCCTTATTTCTTTCTGGTGTTTGTTTTTGTTTGTTGGTTTTATCGAATCATTCCTCTCACATAAATATGGATGATAACCAATTGGTTAAGGAAAAAAAAAATCTAGGAACAACCAGTTTTTTTCCAAATAAGATTTGGAACAAACAAAAAAATCGAAACACACTGATTCTATATCACTTTTGGTAAAACTTACCTTGCTTGATTTGTTTCAAATTGAAAAAACAAAAACATTTAATTCGGAAGATAGTTAGATATCATTAGTTATCATTTAAATTAACGTGTGAATCATGTTAATGATGATGATTAGAAGCAAAGCAAAGAGAACATGTACAATTATTATTTGTTGATGAAATGTCATACTGATGATGATGAAATCAATTTTGTTTTTGAAACAAACAGAAAAAGAAACTAATGAACAAAATCATCACGAAACACACACAATGAGAATAGGGAAAATTATTAATTTTCACATCACCTTTTTGGAAACAAACACATCACATTCGAAAATTGATATATTCTGACAGAGTTCGAACAGAAAAAAAGCAAATTCTGTTTTTTTCAAAAAGGATTTTCTTCAAATCACATCACAAACAACAAAAAAAAACGTCTTACGTCATCTGAAACAAAGATGATGATGAACCAAATCAAAAAATTGATAAAGATTTTCTATTTTGTTTTATTTTGGATTTCACAAACAAACAAAAATCTCTGTGTGATGTGTGTTTTATTTTATCAAAAAATTCATTCTCAAATAGGCTCAATCACTCACAAACACACACACCAACAATGAGAGAAAGAAAACTTTGCTTCTTTTATTGTTGTTGTTGATGATGATATTCACAATTTCCCCCCTCATCATCATCATCATCCTTGCATCTCACCATTTTTTTTATTTTTGTTGTTTGTTGTTTGTTGTTGTTGGTATGGCGGGCTTTAGATATATCTCGTAGCTATATCCACCGATTGTTGTTGTTGTTGTTGTTGTTATTGTAATTGTCTCACGGAGAAGAAGAAGCAAAAGTTCACATTTGATGATATAAAAAGCCCCCGAAAAAGAGAGAGAGACAGAGAGGGATACAATATATTCGATCAATGAGCGGGAAAGAGAGAGAGAAATGGTCTTTTCAAGGGGGGAAAAGAAAAACGAAACATTTTTTTTTTCGTTTGTTCGAAATGGAATCATTCATTTAATTCCATTTCTACCCCCATCAATCGTTTGTGTTTGAATCGAATACCCATCCTCCTCCTCCGCCTATTTTTTTTTTTTTTTTTTGTTATTCTTTCTTTCTTGATTTTTTTTATCATTTTTTTTCTTTTCATAATGATAATAATAGGGCAAAAAAAAAGAAAAAAATTTTATCATTTTTTTCTCTCGGTGGTAGTAGTGGTATATATTATAGTTGAAGAATATTTTCATAGAGAGACAGGGTGAATATATTATTATTGGGAGGGTTGTTTTATTCAAAAGAAAAAATAAAAATTCTTCATTGGTGGAACAAAAAAAAAAGGTAGTAGTATTGTCATTATGTAATCTGTGGTTGAAAGAGGGTGAGTAAATAAGGGAGAGAGGGTTTTATTGTTATCATCATCATCATCATCATCATTAGGATGATTATAACCCGAAGAAAACATCTTTCGCCAGACCAACCAGCCAACCAGACCAGACTTTTAAACCGATGATGATGATGATGATGATGATTTCAGGCGTTGTAAACTTTAATTTTCTGTTTTTCTTTAGTTCAAAATACACAAAAGAAAATTGTTATTGAAGGAAAAAAAAAAAAAATCCCAAAGAATAATTTCATTGATTTTTTTTTCTCTTTTTACTACTCCTCCTGAATCAGGATTCCACTACTACTGCTCTACCCTACTGCTACTATCATTCGAATTCGAATTCTATGATTTTTTTCCGGTAAAATTTCATTTTTTTTTCAATCAATTTTCCGAAAATTTCTGTTTGGAACTCGTAAAAAATCAACATTATCAATTCTCAAATGACCGCACCTTTGATGACACGTGTTGTTATTCCTGACAGAATTCTATATGACTAATTCAATTTGTAACCAAGGTTACCGAATTTCATTATTTTTTTAAAAAAACTTTATTTTGACCGATTTTATTCACCGGGTTCAATGAACATTCATTTTTTTCTTCAAAAAAGGTTCAAGGTTATGTCCTTGATCAAATTAATCAAGAATATTATTGACAGAATAAAAAATGCTTGAATTTCATTCTTCAGTGAAAAAAAATAAGAATCCGATAGCCAGAATATCGCCAAAAATCAAAAAAAAAAACATTCATTTAAAATGACAGACTTGGAAGTCAACGATCTCTTCTTTCCATGCATGTAACACACAAAAAAATTATCGTCAACAATAATCGATAGTATCGATTATTGTCGTTCATTATTCTGGCGCGAATGTGTTTTTTGTTGTTGTTGAGTTGCTTTATTTTTGTTTCATTAATCAAAAATCAGTTTCGGACAATTTTGTTTTACAAAAAAATTTCTAAACTTTTTTTTCAGAATTCGGTTCTCCTGATTAATTAAACTAACAATGAGCGATTTTTTTAACACATCAAATTTTGATGCTGCGGATGAATCGGCTCGTGGTGGTGGTGGTGCCGGTGGTAAACAAAATTCGGATAATCAATTAAATCAAAATATTGTTCGTGTTTCTTGTTCACAAATCGCTCGGCTATCACGTCGTGAAGATGGTTTAATTTTGCATCGACAAAAAATCAACACTATTGTTGTTATTGGTGTTGTTCAAAGTGTTGAAGAACTTACAACAAAAAATGTTTACATTATTGATGATCATACACCAGGATCGCCGATCGAAGTTCAACTTTGGAAAAATACACCTGAAGGTTTGTTTGAAAATTAACTTGATGGAATTCTGATTTTTTTCAACTTCATTAATTATTTTATCAGGCGCCGATGGAAATCCACGACTTTCATTGATTCCACCAACAGTTTTAGAACGAACATATATTCGAGTTACCGGAAAAGTTTCCTATGATGATCAAAAACCATTTGTCATTGCTTTTCGTGTAGAATTGATCAATGATCCGAATGAAATTCCACGTCATTTACTACAAATAATTCATGATTCATTGTTTTTGGAAAAACGCAAAAACATTACTATCAATTCAAAAGGTGAAAAAGAAATGGGTGGATTAGCTAACCAAAATCAATTTGGTGGTAATGATTTATCGGCTGGACATGGTTTTACCCAGCTTCAACGAAGCATATTGAATATTCTTGGTAAACATCGTGATTCACCATCTGGTTTAAAACGAATGGAAATTCATAATTATATGACTGGTGTTAATTCTAATCTTATTGATGATGCTATTCAATTTTTAGTTAATGAAGGTCATATTTTTAGTACAGTTGATGAAAATACTTTTAAAGTTACTGATTTCTGAACAAAAAAAAATGTTAACATTGGAATTTCAATTTTCAAAAAAAAAATTTATCAATTTTTTTTCCTAAATAAAAATTATTCCTACAATCGATACTATCGATTTTTTTTTTGTTTTGCTTTGGTAGACACGTGAATTGATTTGATTTTTTCAATTTTTTTCTGAATTTTTTCGAAAATTAATCAACAAAAAATGGTTGATATACAACAATTTACCGATTATGTTTATCGTTTTCCTGATGTTCAACATATTGATCAAACATTATCGGTCCTAAAGATTCAAATCGAATCGATTAATGAAAATGAAATCAATTTTGATATTATTGGATTGAAACCATTTTTTGTCAACACAATTCGACAATTAATTTTGAATGAAATTCCTACAATGGCTATCGAAGATGTTTATTTTCAGGAAAATACTTCTACATTATTTAATTGTGATTATATTGCACAACGTTTAGCATTAATACCGATTGTTGCCAATCCAAATGATTTTAAATTTCGCAATAAAAATGATCCGGAACGTCTTAATTCAAATAATTGTATTGTAATGAAATTGAATAGAAAAAATACCAGTTCGCAAACGATTAAAGTATATGCTGAAGATATTAAATGGGAACCGATGGGCGCGAGGCAACATTTATTATCACCAATTACATTACTTTATCCTAAAATACCGATAATGTATTTGAAACCAAATGAAGAAATTATTTGTCGTTTACATTGTGTAAAAGGTCGTGGTTTAGATCATATGAAATTTAGTCCCGGATTTGCACGTTATTATTTTCATTCACAAATTACATTGAAAGATATAAAAACTATTTCAACCGAAACAGTTCAACGAATAAAATCATCATTTCCCGCTGGTGTAATTGAAACAAAAATTCGTCCAGATGGTCGTATCATACCGATTGTTGCAAATGAACGTCTTGATCATCATACAAGAAGTTTTAAAAATTTTGAAGATGTCGCCAATGCTGTACAGGTGAAATATTATCGTGATCATTTAATTTTTATAATCGAAAGTTATGGTGTTAAAAATCCAGCCGAAATGTTTATCAATGCTTTGGATATTTTTCAATATAAAATTAAAATATGGGAAGAACGAATTCGTCGTATTAAAACAGAATCAGAAACAAAATCCAAATCGAATGATTAATGTTTTTTTGTTTTTGAAAGTTTTCATTTTTTTTGTAATTTTTTAAAAATTTTTAAATCATTTTTTCACCTATTTTGAATGTTACGATTCGTTTGTGTTAAAATAGATGTTTGTTTTTTACATCATCGATTGACGAGAGCAACTTCATTTTTCTCTTCTTGTCACATTCGATTTTTAGCTTGTCAATCGTTTAGCGCCCTTTTTTTTCATTTCAATCAAACATTTCATCATCATCGTCGAAATCATGTCAAGCAAAAAGAAACCACAACAAAAAGGTAACATCTTATATAATCATCAACGTTTGTTAATCTTTTTTTTTCATTAAATTTGAATAGCATCCGAAGGTTCGGATGATGAATCTACAAATACTTTAAAACTGAGCAACAATCGTTATTTAACTGTTTCGGAATTTAAGAATAAAGTACGTGTTGATATACGGGAATTTTATTTGAATGAAGATGGTGAACGAAAACCAGGGAAAAAAGGTATCAGTTTATCAATGGATGAATGGAAAAAAATTGTTGAAAATATGGATAAAATAAAAAAAATGATTAAAGATCAAGGTGATTCGGATTCGGAATAAAATCATTGCAATCAATCGATCATTCGAAACAAAATGTTTATAATCATTGTCACTCAAAGAAACAAAAGAAAAATCATTAAAATGTGAATCAATAAAATTTTCATTATTTTTTTTTCTTCGTTAATTCAAATATTCAAGTGTGTTTTTTTTCAAAAAGTTATTTACAAATCAAACAAAAAAAAAAGAAAATTCATTAATTAAATTCATTGCTACTTTTAAAGATATAAACTTGCTGCAAAAACAATGTCACGTTTGATTAATTTAATTGCTTCGGAAAATTTATTCTCCAAATCAGTATTACCAATTACTTTGGATGCTTGACACATTTGTCGAAGTAATTCCTCTAAACGTCTCATACAACGAATGATTGAACCTTCAAATGCATCAGTCATTTTACAAATTTCTGAAAATGATTTTCCTTTTGTCCATGAATAAATAACATCCATTAGATTTGGTCGAAATTTTTCAATATAAATTTTTTCATCAATTTCTAATTTAGATTCTTTTGAAACTGTAGCAATTTTTTTCGCCAATTCTTGCATTGTTTTTAATGGTTTTGATAATTCTTCACCTAATTTTGGTCGTACATCCATTTTTTCTTCAAAAACCATACAACTTAATAATGCTGAAATTTGATATACATTTAAATCATTAAACAGACCATTGAATAACATTTCAGTCAATAATAATTCATCGCCACTATGGGGTTAAAAAAAAGAAAAATTATCAATTTTTTTTCTTCAATCAAAAATCACAAAACAAAAAAAACAAACCTTGTTATTTCACATGCAACACGTCCTTTAATTTCAATAACATCAGCCGATGTACAATAACCAAGACGACGTAATACACGTTTACGACATTTCAATTCATCCATTTGCAATAGACTTCTGGTTTTTTTCATCAATTCTTTTGTTTGTTTCATTTTCTTTTCAATATCTTGTTTACGTTCATATTGACGAACCATATCTTGATTAATTTTTTTAAATTCTAATAATTTTTTCTCCAATGATTCAATACGTTTAACAATATTTAGAAAATCATTATCTTTAATTTTCATATCTTCTAATGGATCCAACAGGGGGATATTTCCACTAAAACGTTTTTTAATTTCTTGTATTGATTTTAATACCGATTGTCGGCTATCAAAACTACGAAGATCATGTGGTAGAAATGCACGTGCTGAACTTATTTGTGTTATATTCGATAATCGTAATGAAATGATTTTCATTTCACATTTTTCCATATTACTTGGTGGTAATATTGTTTCACTTATTGGATCAATTGTTTTATCCACTGGCAGTAGTACATCAATTTGATAAATTGGTTCTTGTTGTCGTTGTTTTCTATCCATAGTAGGTTTATTATAATTAATCAATACACCCCAATCCATATCTAGATTATCATTGTTAACAATTTTCAATAGACGTCCACTATTTAAAAATGGTAAAATATAACGTGGTGTAGTGATGAATACTAAAAATTCCTTTGTCAAATCGGTAATCTGATTTTTTATTTTAACATATTCGGCAATACAATCTTCATTATCAATTTTTATATTACTTTTTTGTTCTTTTAGTTTTTTGTATTCTAATTTAAAAAAAAAATTATAAAAAAATTACAAAGGAAATGTTCAATTCGAATAACTTACTTTCATGTAATTTTGGATATTCAAGATATTGTTGAAATTGAAAAAAACTATGTTCCAACATATATTCCGGGTTAACTTCTTCAACACGTAACAAATTCAAAACCATATTATATGTTAAATGAAATGCTGAATTCAATGGATCTGGACGGCCACAAATCATTTCTTTACCAACAGCTGGATTAACTTTTTCATCAACCCGTAGTATGACAATACCACGTTCATCAATACCACGACGTCCAGCTCGGCCACTCATCTGAATATATTCACCCGAAGTTATGAAACGAAAATTTGTTCCATCAAATTTTCGAACACTTGTAAACACTACTGTTCTGGCTGGCATATTTAAACCCATAGCAAAAGTTTCTGTTGCAAATAATGCCTTGATAAGACCTTCACCAAATAAAATTTCAATAGTTTCTTTAATCAATGGTAATAGACCACTATGATGAATGCCAACACCACGTTTTAAAAGTGGTAATATTTGCTGTACTTGTGGTAATTTTTTATCATCATCACTTAAAACATCAATAGCATTATTAAATACTTCTTCAACTAATGATTTTTCTTCAGCAGAATTAAAATCCAATTTAAGATTACTGATTTGTAGTGCATATATTTCACATTCTTTACGACTAAAACTGAATAGAATTACTGGCGCTAGATTTCGTTCCATAATTGTACGAATAACTTTTATACAACTTTGATCACCACCTTTAGCCGATGATGATGATGAATTTTGTCCCGATGGATTTTGTAGTACATTCATTGCTTGATTAAAATTATCTTCACGAAAATTATTCTGTTCATCCAATACTAAATGTAAACCATCACCACCAGCTGGATAAATATAATGTTGTAATGGTGTTGGACGAAAATCCGTATAAACAACATGACAACTTTGATGATGTAAATGTGCAATCCATTCGGCAAATTGACGAGCATTCGGTATGGTTGCCGAAAGAAAAACATAATGTACTGTATCGGGTAAAAGAATTATAGTTTCTTCCCAGATAACACCACGTTCACGATCACGCATATAATGAATTTCATCGAATATTACCCAACCAACTTCACGCATAATTTCACTACCACGAAATAACATTAAACGTAGAATTTCGGTTGTCATAATCAAACAAGTTGCATTCGGATTAATTGTTACATCACCAGTAATCAAACCAACATCTTCAAATTCTTCTTGAAATTCACGATATTTTTGATTACTTAATGCTTTGATCGGTGTTGTATAGATAACACGTTGTTTATTCTGAAATGATGATGCAATAGCATATTCAGCAACAACTGTCTTACCAGCCGATGTATGTGCCGAAACTAAAACACTTTGATTATTTTCAATACAAAGTATTGCTTCTTTTTGAAATGAATCCAGAATAAATTTATATTCTTTAGCTGGTTTATAATTAGGATTTTCACTATGATCACGTAATGGAACATATTCCAAATCAACTGGAATGATTACTTCATGTACACAAGATGAACCTTGTGTTTCTAATTCATGTATTTCAACACGTGCTGTAAATGTTTCATTAATTTCACCTAAATTTTCATTATCTTCATCATCCGTATCATTTGGTACTCGTGTCAATTCTTCGACCATTGAAGTAGTTATCTGATTATTATCTTCATTACCTTTTTTACGTTTAACATCGTTGATTAATTTATCGATCAAACCATTATCAACAACATTATCATCATTTTTCGATCCATTTTCATTTGAATTTTGGCCATTATTTTGTTCATTATCATCAGCTTTTCGTTTATTATTATCATTATTAGTGTTGGATTTTGGATCCAAATCAAAAACATCAAATAAATCCATTTTTATCAACAAAAAAAACTTTTTTTAAACAAAACGCACGTGAAATGAGTGTTAACAGGCCAAGAATCCCATTTATACCTTACCCAGCCAATTACTGTTTTAATAGTTTCGAAGAATTGTCGAAACAAACAATTCTTTTTTTTTGACAAAGAATTTTTATTGTAAACAAAAAATTTGATTAAATTTTCTTAAATCAATCTGTTTCACCATCAATGTTTCTGAATTAATTACGAGCAAAAAATTGGAAAATGATCATCTTGATTAATTGGCATTTTTCTTGAAAAAATTCAATTGTAATTGATTTTCATTTATTCATCGAAACAAACAGAAAACATAACAATCAAATCATGGTCGAATTAGCTGGAAATTCTGAATCATATGGAATCATTTCACATGGTTTCAACAATTGGATATTTATTGGACCAGGCATTATAACTTTTTCGCTTATAGGTTTGTAATTTTTAAAAAAATTTTAAAATCAAATTTTTATCGATTTTTTATTAGTCGAAAAAAAGAATTCATTTTTCATCATCATCAATAATTTGTTTTTGTATTTTTTCCATAATTTTTTCAATTTCATTTAAATGATTATCATTATCATTTGATTCATCTTTTATTTGTTGTTCAATTTTATCGGTTATTATTGTTTCTGATTTTTCAATCATTTCAATTATTTCATTCATTTGTTGTTCATCTTTTTCTCTTGGTGTTTTTAAATCATTTATCATTGGTACAAATTCTAATGAATCAACTGCTGCTGTATGATTATCAAATGCTGGTATAAATAAATTTTCAAATAATGTTGTTAATGGATTCATTCCAGATGCTTGCAATATTGATTGTAATGTAAAATCATTTTTATTTCTATTATTATCATTATTACGTTTTTGTTGTTGTTGTTGTTGTTTTTGTCTTCGGGTCAAGTTTATTTTACCATTGTTGCTGTTATTATTGTTGAATTTTGGAATTTTTTGTTTACGAAATTCCATTATTTCAAATATGTTTTCAAAAACCAAAATTTTCATCATTTAAAACAAATTTTTCATTCATTATTGTTTGCTAATTTTTAATCTGATTTTTTTTTTGTTTCAGAATTTCGAAAATTTCGAAAAATTCGAATCGAAAAAGTTTCATCGAGAATGAAATGTCCACAGATCAGCCATAAGAACCGCCATCATCATCAGTTTGAAAGAAGCTGAAAAAAACTTGTCAGTTTAGTTACCATCATCATCATGCATGATAACCCTCATTGCCACCACCACCATCAATATTAAAATGATGAATTTGATAGCTTGTTTGTGTGTGTTTTGGTGTCTACGTCGACCAGTTTTTTTTTCTACTTTGTTTCTATGGTGGTCTATATTTTGATGACAAAACAGACAACCAAAACCAAAAACTAATCAACAAATCTCCATAGCATTATTGTTGGTTTACTCTTAATCATCATCGATAATCGATAAATCTTTTTTTGTTGGTGATCCAAATCAAAAATCAATTGATTGATTCTGATCCTGAGGATCTCTCTTTTTCTTTTTTTTTAATTAACACGTGTCATTCCATTTCGTTATTTAAAAAGTTGTTTGTTTTTTGAATTTCTGAAAAAATCATGTATTGGATATTATTCGTATTGATTCCGGTGTTAATCATCGGTTAGAAATTTTCGCTTTTTTGATTTTCTTTTTTGATTTTCCCAGAATTTTCTAACGAAATCTTTTTTGTTTTTTCTCTTTTTTTTCCAAAATTTTCACGTAGGTTTTTTCGTCTATAAATTGGTACAAAATTTAAAGGAAAAAGAAAAACGTCGTGAAGAGAAAAAGATGAAAAAAATGAAAAAAACAACAAAAAAGGTTGCATAGAAAAAATGATTTCAATTTTATTCATTCATTCACAACAAGCAACAAAACAAACAAACAAAAACTCGAAGAAATTCCAATCAATTTTTGGCACATCATTCAATGTTTTTCCAATTATCAATCATCATGTTATGTCAATGAAATGTGCAATGAAACAAAAAATGTTTGTCAAATGTTTATCAAATTCAAAATAATTTTTATTTATTATTAACAAAAAAAAAATCAATCAACAAAAGTAATTAAAAAGTAAAAAAAAGGTTATTTTTAAAAAAATTTCAAAAATTAAAACTTGATGATTTTGGCATTTTAAATCGATCATCATCATCATCATTTTGATGTTGTTGATCGATTATGGTTGTAGTGTATGATGATGGTTGTTGTCCATTTAAATGATTATCATCGATCAAATGTTCAAATGGCCAATTATCCTTTAGTATTTGTTCATCTAAAATACGAAATTTTTTCTTTGATTTCATTCGGAATTTCTGACGAATCCATGGTAAAATATATCGTGCAATTAAACAATACCAAAAATAACGTTCCAATATGAATGATATGATAAAATTTAACACGCAAATTGATAAAATTTTCAAACGAAAATCAAATGGTAATGGAATGAATTCTAAAAATCCTAAAAACCATTCCGGTGCAATCAATGACATTAATAATGATAATGAAAAATTTATTAAAACCATACAAATATAGATTCCTGTAAAATGATTTTTCGATTTGAAGAAAATAAAAAAGGTAATCAAGTGTTAATAATCCAAATGAAAATACATACGATTGGAAAAAAATCCTAAACGATATGGTGGACCAGGTGCAAAAACCACTGCTGCAATTACATAAGACATTGTATTGATGGAAAATATTGCATTTGCAATTTGATTTGGTGATTGTTGTTCAATAATATCTGTACTTATTACCGGTATATAAAAGGGTTGATCGATTAGATATGTTCTGATTAGATAATAAATTAAAACTTGAACAATGATAAATGTATACAATGACATTTGTTGAACAAAACTTAGCAGATTTCGAATGGGCATACGTTTTGATAATTTTGGATATGGTTTGGTTGTTGCAAAAACCATTGGTGGTAAAATATTCATAATAACATCAACAAAAACATATGTACCATCGGATGGACGAAAACCATGCCAAAATAAAATTAATGCCGAACCCAATAGTATAAAACAATATGCACTTTGATATTTAAATGTACCAAAAACACTGACCAATGTACAGCGGCCTTCTTTTAACAATGATGGTACACAGGAAATATCTTTATTTTTATATGTAAATGGTGATGCAACTGATGCTTCGGCAACCGAAAGGGCAATTCCAGCATCCGCCGCTCGTAATGCACCACAATCATTAGCACCATCACCACACATACCAACACTATGATTTTGTTTCCTCAATATTGTTATCAGACTTTTTTTCTGATCCGGTGTCATACGGGCAAATATTGTTCCTTTATGTATGATACGATCAATAAGATCGGGTTTTGTATTTCGAATAATATTATACGAATCACCATCAATTGCTAAATGATATTGAAATAATTTTTCATTATTCCCTTCTAAATCATCACCGTTATTATTGTTTGTAATCATAAAATCTGGATATTTTACATAATCATAATGTAGAGAAATTTGTTTGGGTAATAATTTATTCGGGATTGCTTGTACCCTGATGATTGCATCTGGTTTTCGTATCATTTGACATTCTTGTGCAACCGATAATGCTGTTAGGATATTATCACCAGTTACCATTATACAACGTATATTTGCATCCATCAATTCTTCAATGATTTGTTTGGATGATGATTTAAGTTTATTTTTAAATAAATAAAAACCATTAAATGTCATATTGTTTTCCAATGAACTACGATTCATATCTAAACATTCATCCACATCATTGGTATCGATAATTTTTGATGCAGTAGCCAAGACACGAAATCCCTGGCTAGTATAATGTTCAAGAATTTCGGAAAAATTTTCTGGTAATGTTTCTTCCGAACAAAATAATTTCAATACTTCTGGTGCACCTTTTACAATTGCCATGAAATTATTTTCTTTTACATCTTTCACGATAACCAGCATTCGTTGTAAAAATGATTCAAATGGATATTGTTTCATAATACCGATTAATTGATAATTTATACCGGAAAATGTATTTGTTACAATACGATCAGGTGTTTTACCAAATGTTTCAACTAAATCATCCATATCATGTACAAATGTCCATTCACTTGTTTGAAATAATTTTATATCCAAATCATCACCTTCAATATTACCTTTATATTCTACTAATGAATGACATGCAGCCATTGTTTTAACAATAATATTATCAGCCGGTAATGATTTAACATCCGTAATGATTGATTGAAATTTTCTATTGAAAATCGGTACAATACCGGCAAAATCAATTGTATCTTCAGTTATGGTACCGGTTTTATCAAAACACATTGTATCAATTTCACCTGCACAAGCAATTGCTTGTGAATTCAAACAAAATATACCTTTCTTTTTCAGTCTTCTTTGTGCATGAACATTAACACTTGTTAATACAGCCGGTAAAACTGGTGGTATGAGAAATGTTCCAACATCCAATACAATAATTATTATACTTGATGTAGCAAAATCAAAACGACTTAATGCATAATATGTATACAGGAATGATGGCAGACCGAATAAAAATATGAAAATTATTGACATTTTTATCATTTGTCGTTTAATATTATTATTCATTTGTATTGGATACAGAATACTTCGAGCTAATTCACCTTTAGTTGTTGAAAATCCTGTACGTACAACCACAGCCATTATATCGATATTTTCCTTACTATAAACATTTAATAATTTTGTACCGGAAAATAATGTATTACTTTTATGAACGGATGATGAATATATTGATGTTGGATTATCAACCAATGGTACTTTTGGTACGGGTAAACTTTCACCTGTTAACATACTTTCATCCATAATACAAGAACCAGTCATTAGTACGGCATCACATTCCATCATATAATTATTTACAGAATGACGAGGTAATACAATTACATCACCTGGTATTAATTCGGTTGAAATTTTCTGTACTGGTTGTGAATCACGTATTACAGTAACCATTGAAGCGGAATGAACTTTTTTTCTTAATGCTATTGATTGCTATAAGTTGAAAGGGAAAAAATCAGAAAAAATTCAAAAATTTTGACATCAAACAAACCTTACGAGTTTGCCAAACATGCATTGCAACCGATATAGTGGACAATATAAAAATACAAGCAGCAAATTGATAATAATCCTGTATCAACCAAATACAAATGATAAAAAATTGATAAAGATAAAATGGACCGGTAATTTCATTGAATATTAATCGCCATATTGGTAATACTTCAATATCTATAGAATTTCGACCGAAAAGTATTAATTTTTTCTGTGCTTCCGTTGTTGATGCACCATCAACCACCTGACTATATAGTACACTACATTTTTCCTGATCTAAACCTTTTAATTTACAAAAATGTTGATATTCATCATTCCAAATATATTTAATTTTTTTATGAATGAAATAACGATATGATAAATTGGGTGTTTGAAACATTGTTTCAACAAATTCATCACCATATTTATCCTGTTTGAATGGTTTGGATGGTTGGAGAAAAAAATTAACCCCGAGAATTCAATTAAAAGAAAATTGTACATTACTTTCAACACAAGAATCTGCGCCTTATCCAATTGACAACGTTTTTTTGTCAAACGTATACGAATAGCCGGGCGGAATAACATTATAATGGCCAATAGACCACCGGTGATTAAAATGCCTATACAAACAATAATTGTTTTCCATAATGAATTAGTAAATCCTTGTAGTAAAAGTTCATCTTCTTCACCAATATTCATACGATCATCATAATCATTATTATGTTTGATTTGTTGTCGTTTTGAATTAAACATTGTTTTGTTTCCTGGTTTCCCCCCCCACAATGAAAAAGAATTCACAGAATTGATCACACAGACAAAATTTTCAATTGGCGACAAACTAAATAGCAAAAATTCAAATAAAACAAATGCCGCTTTGTAATTTTACATTGAATTTAACATCGTTTTAATATCAAACCAATGAATGAAACAAACAAACAAAAAAACAAACAAAAAAATCAACAAGCAAGCTAAGCAAATATACACCAGATCTCATTAAGAAGAAATTATATACATTATTATTTGAAATTCATATCTTTTTTTGGTTTTTTGATTGATTTAGATTGAATGATGACACATTCCAATATTATTTCTGCTGTTATTTCATTTGCTTCGTTTTTTATATTCGGTCACATCGGATGCCATCACACACAAACACAAGAAAATCTGAAATGATGATTTGATCAACCGAAACCATTTCTTCATTTCTTTATTTCATTTGTTTTGAATGACAACCAATAAAAGATATGATCAAATAAAAACTAACGTCATTGTAATTTCAGTTTCGGTGATTTTATTCGAACAAGGGAAAAAAATCTAAATAAATAACGAAGCAAATAGTGAAACAAAAATTTGATAAGATTATTGAAATCGGAATTGATTAGCGGATTGATTGATTGATTGATTGAGGAGAAAAATATGATACCATTATCGATAAGTGAAGAAATGAAATGACAAAAAAGTGAAGATATGTAAAGTGTCGATGAATGAAAAGCCGACCCTAAACTATTTTCATTTCTTTTGGTACTTTTTTTTGGTATATTTCCCTAATGATTATCCCATTTGATTTTCAGAAGATCAGATAATATTCGTGGACAAAAAATGGTTTAGTGTGTCAAATTTTCATTTTTTTCGGGAAATTTTTTTTTTTTTTAAATTATTCTTTTAAAGATTGTAACGCCATCTTGATGAATTTATCTGAACATTTTTTTGTGTGTACTAGTTTATATGAATGGTTATGAAACGTGTTTTATTTTTTTCATTGCATGCAGAAGTGTGTGCACGCATGAGTTTGATTTTTTTTCTTTTTGGCTTGGTTTTTGTGTGGCAGCGTCGTTCAACTTCCTTTTCTTCTCACTGTGTGTGTGTGTGTTTTGTGTGATTTTTTTGTGTTTTTGGTTTTTCTCATTTGAAATTCTTTGGGATTTTTTTGTTGAATATTCTTTTGAAAAAAATGGGTGCATACAAATATATGCAAGAAATATGGCGACATAAACAATCGGATGTTATGCGATTTTTGTTACGTGTTCGAACATGGCAATATCGTCAATTGAATGTTATCACTCGTTGTCCAAGACCATCACGAACCGAAAAAGCTCGCCGTCTTGGTTATAAAGCTAAACAAGGTTATGTTATTTATCGTGTACGTGTTCGTCGTGGTGGCCGAAAACGTCAATGTCCAAAAGGTGCTACATATGGTAAACCAAAGAATCATGGTGTCAATGAATTGAAACCGACACGAAATTTACAAGCAATTGCTGAAGAACGTGTTGGTCGTCGTGTTGCTCATGCTTTGCGAATTTTAGGATCATATTGGGTTGGCCAAGATTCTACATTCAAATTTTTTGAAGTAAGTTTTTTTCGAAAAAGATTTGTTAATCGAAACGATTCTAAAAATGCCCATTTTAATTTTCACTCGTAGATCATTTGTATTGATCCTTTCCATAAGGCTATACGTCGTGATCCAAAAATCAATTGGATCTGTAATGCTGTACAAAAACATCGTGAATTACGTGGTTTGACTAGTTCGGGTAAAAAACATCGTGGCTTACGTGGTTCTGGTCATGGTTATTCTAAACTTGTCGGTGGTTCAAGACGTGGAAATTGGCGTAGACGAAATACATTACAATTACGTCGAAGACGATAGAGAATTTCAAACAACAACAAAAACATTTGGTCATTTTGTATTTTCTCTTATTTTGAGATAATAAAACTTATTTGGAACCCAAAAATACATTTGTTTTTTTCAAAAATTTCTTTTTTATTTCAATTTTAAAATCAAAAAAATTTAAAAAATTCAACAAAAAGCAATGGAAACCAGGTTTTCCAATGGTTTGCCAAGCAGACATTTCAAACTTACCATGAGTTTTCACGAAACTTACCGCATTTTCGGCCATGCCATCGATCGATTCCAAAAATTGACCACATCATAATCATCATCATCCTGGATGAAAGAATCAACGAAAGAATAAGGAAATTATAAAATAAAAAATTAACAAAAAAATGAGAAAAAAAAACATTCCAATTTCGCCCAAAACAAAAAATGTGGATATGGGAAAAATGGAAAGGATTATTTTTATGGAAAAAAATGTGAAGAATTGAAAGGGAAAGGTTTGGATTGAAAAAAGCCGGATTTACCTAAGCAGATCTTTGTGAATGTGTGTGGCCACTATATATCACATTTAATTTTAAAAAATAAATATTTTTAGCTGGCCCTGAATGATGGTGATTCCTGTAACAACATTTAAAATTTTTTCAAATAAAAAATCTATATAAAAAAGTGAATTTTTGCTGTTATTATTTTTTCGAAAACTTTATTTTATCAATTTTTTATAAATTAAAACATGTCTGTGTTTTGTTTGTTTGTTGTGTATGAATTGAATTAGTTGTGTTTCGAGATTATCTGATGTTTAATCAAGGTTTCTTCTTCTTTTTGAACTGTAAAAAAATTTGACAAATTACAATGAATATGTGTGTATGCATGATGTATCTGATGAAAATTGGCTACAATTATTATCATAATGAGAACCTGTTACACAAATCTTCTTGCAAAATAAATGAAATTCATCAAAGATGAATGAATGCGAAAAAAATGGGGAAAAAAGTGGAATTTGATTGAATAATGGTAAAAATGTTTTTTGTTTTTGTATGTAGTCGACATTGTAACGAGAGGAGAGAAAAAAAAAATTTAGGCTGATTTTCAAATCCACAGGGTTTATCATCTATTTTAACATTTTTTTTTTCATTCAGAAATAATATCTGTCTGGTCAATTCTAAAGACACAATTAATTCTGAACTGAATTTGAGGAAACATTGATTCAATTGATTCGATGATGAATAATAATAACGATAAATACACACACGATAATACAATAACGATTTTCTGTTTTCTTTATTTAGCTTCGAACGATGCTGATATTGATTAATTATGATGGCTGTGTGTGTTTTTGTAATTATAAAAATTCTGATTTTTTTTGAACGGAAAAAAAATTCGATGCTGTGTTTGCTAATCATATTATCAACTCTTCTTCAAACATTTAACAACAACAACAACAACAATATAGTCTTCATCTTCGGTAATTTTTTTACGGATATTTCTGGATTATTATTACGATCGATACCTATATTTTTATTTATTTAAATGAAGAATCTGTTCTGCGAGAAGAAGAAGGTCAACACACACAAATTATGATTTTTGTAATATAGACAGATGTTTAACACTGTTCTGTTCGACTGTTTCCTGTAAATCTTGTCCTTATTATCATTATTATTATTATTATTAGCATAAATAACACTGTTTTGAATGAAAATAGAAAAGATAAACCCTAGAAATAAAATAAAAAAATAGAATGCGAAACGAATGAAAAAGAAAATTGATTATTTTTCTGGAATATTATATATTTTACATAAGCTTCAAACTAATTATTATTTTTTTGCAATTTAAACCAAACATAATTTGTCAGGCAAACAAAAAATAATTTCATTTTTAAATAGAAAAAAATGACTTACCCGAGATTGAATATTTTTTTGGCGGAAAAATGAAAATGTCGACAATGAATGATTATTTTATCAGGAAAAAAATGGAGAAAATTAATGAATGAATGAATGAATGAGAAAAATCCATCAACGACGTCCACCATAATTACCACCACCATAATTACTTCCATAACCACCTATTTATTATCATTGAACGATAATAAATTATAAATTTATAAATGATGGATTTTAGAAATATTTACCTCCATATGGTCCTTGACCTCTATGGCTGTAATTGGTGTTTCGGATTGGACCACCACCACCACCACCTCCGCCATAGTTACCATAACCAGAATTTCCATAATCCGAACTCCAGCCACCTTGACCTTGATTCCAACCACCTTGACTTTGTTGACCATAGCTATTTTGGCCATAACCTCCACCATAGCCACCATCTAAAAACAATTGAAAAATTTAGAAGTTAAAATAGTATCCGGTTATTAATTGAATAATGCATTCTTACATCCTTGATTATATCCACCACCGCCACCATATCCACCTCCTCCACCACCATAATTACCGGGACCAGATTCCCAGACTGGTGCATTACGTGTTCCACCTCCAGCACGATTAACATTTCGTGCTTCAGTTTTACGTTTCATCGTATCCATTTCTTGTCTTGATAATGCTTTTTTCACTTCAGTTCGTTTGCCTTTGATAACATGATGTCGTTTCACTACAAAAATAACAATCAATCAAAACAAATTTTTATCATTTTTTTGAATAAACAAAGATTCAATTGAAAAAAAACATACAAACTATTTTGTCAACAGGATCATAATCATCAAATTCGACAAATGCAAAACCACGTTTTTTACCAGTATCTTTATCAGTGACAATATTCACATTGACAACATTACCAAATTCAATAAAATAATCACGAAGATCATTTTCTTCAATATCTTCTTTAAGACCACCGAGAAATATTTTCTTCACCGTTGCTTGTGAATCCGGTTTACCCGAATCTTCACGTGGTACAGCACGTTTTGGTTCAACTTCACGGCCATCAACTTTATGTGGCCGAGATTTTTGTGCCTGATCAACCATCGATGATTTTGAATAGGTAATGAAACCAAAACCACGTGATCGTTTTGATTGTGGATCACGCATTACAACACAATCAACAATATCACCCCATTGTTGAAAATGACCTTTCAATGTATCTTCAGTTGTTTTATAATCAAGACCACCGATAAATAATTTTCGAAATTGTTCCGGTTCATCTTCACCACCATCATCTTGGTTACTATAATCTTGATTACTATCATCATTATCATTACCATTACCATTATTTTGTTGATTATTCGAATCATTTTGTTGTTGTTGTTGTTGCTGCTGCTGATCTTGTTGTTGTTGTTGTTGTTGATTTAACGATTGATTTTGTTCAGAATTGTTTTCATTCTGTTGTTGTTGTTGCTGCTGTTGTTGTTGTTGTTGATTTTCATCACTAAAACCATTCGATTGCTAAAAAAATTAAACAGAAAATTTTAAATTTCGAAACAAAAAAAATCAAACCAACCTCAACTTTAATTTCAGCCATTATTACTGAATGTAAATAATGTTTTTCAGAAAAAAAAAGAAAGATAATCCACACTAATCACTCGTTTCTTGAAACAAAATGGAAAATTTTTTGTTTGTTTTTTAATTTTGATGCAATACAAAAAAGCAAGTAAAGAATATCCAAAATGAGCAAAGTAAGCGAGCACCACTCACCAAACGAAACAAAAGACACAACACTGTTATTACACACAAAGAATATATATCTTAAGAATAGTAACAGTAGCGACACCAAGCGTACAAATACAATACTGATAAAATGGCAGCCGGCTCAATTTTTTTTTCATTTAAGACCCGCCTACTTTTGATCAAGAAACTACTGACATCTAGTGGTGGAATTTTTTTTTAAATTTTTTGAAAAAAATTGCCTTTTTATTTTGCTTAAAATAAAATTTTTTTGTTTTGTTTAAATTTTATAAAAATTAGTTGTTTTTCAAAGAGAAAAAACAATTTTGGTTGGTTATTGGTTACATCATTCCTTCGGATGAACGAATATCATCAATTTTTAAAATCATTTTCACCAATTGTGTTGCCAAACTAATCTGCTGTTTTTTACTATTCAATGTTTCGATAATATTCTGTTCTTTCATATCTGTATTTAGGGTTAAAAAAAAGAAAACATAAAAGAGATTAATATCCTGAAATGAGATAAAGAGAATTCAATACTTACCATTAGTACCTTTCTGTACACAATCAATACCTAATTGTGGTTTTGATTCTTTTACTTGACGTGATTTAATCTCGGCAACAGTTTCAATCGGTGAAAGACCACTATTTTCAGCCAATGCTAATGGTATTGATTCTAATGCATCGGCAAATGCTCTGAATGCATATTGTTCTAATGAAGTAATTTTATCAGCTTCTTTCGAAACAGCCAATGCACAGGATATTTCAGCTGCACCACCACCATAAACAATACGATAATCTTTGATCAGATTACGAACAACACATAAAGCATCATGCATTGAACGTTTAGCTTCTTCAACAATCATTTTATTACCACCACGAATAAATATTGTAACAGCTTTAGTATTAGGACATTGTTCAATGACCAACATTTTATCACGTGTAGTACCAAATACTAATTCACGTACAATACCAGCTTTACCAAGTTTTTCCGGTGTTAATTCTTCAAAACGTGGTACAATTCGACCACCGGTTGCAATAGCAATCAATTCAATTTCCGGACCACCAACCCAACGTACAGCTGGCAATTCTTTTTGTAATAAAAGATGATTAGCTTCATCATCAAAACCCCATTGACAGATAACCAGATTTGCACCAGCATCTTTAACCTGTTGAACCATTTGTTCAAATTTTTGTATTTCATATTTTCGTAGATTACGATAATCTTCAACCGAATGTACATCTAACTTATGTTTAGTTTTTGGTTTTGGTGGTTCAAACGGGCAGGTTAATATGGCCAATTTTACATCTTTCAATTTGGTTGGCATTTGTGGATGACTAAAATTTTTATCAACAATAACACCATTGACCAAAACAGTATCTTCCAATCGACCACCAGTTTTACCTTCAACTTTAATCAAATCAAATGAAACATCTTTTCGTTCCAGATCGGCAACCGATATAACAGCATTCACAGCTATTTCGGCAAATTTTCTCAAACATCGATTAACAATTTTTGAACTTAATGTTGTCATAGCTGTTTGTATTAATGGTTCAAGATTATGTTGATCGATTGGAAAACTTTCACAAATTTTATCCAAATGTTCCATTGCATGACGTGCGGCCAATTCAAAACCATCGGCAATACGAATAGGATGTATACCACGATCCAATAATTGTTCGGCTTGTTCCAATAAAGCTCCAGCCAAAACTAAAATCAGAAGAAAATCATTTTGAAAATCAAAAAAAGGGAAATCAATTTGAAATACATACCGACAACACCGGTCGTACCATCACCAATTTCATCATCTTGTGATTGTGAAAGTTCAACCAATAATTTAGCAATTTGATGTTCAACATCCATCATTTTAAGTATTGTAGCACCATCATTAGTAATTGTAACATCACCATCAGCTGTTACCATTATTTTATCCAAACCTTTTGGTCCAAGAGATGTTCGTAATATTTTAGCAACACTAATACCGGCTAAAATATGGCTCTAAAATTTTGAATTAGTTTAGTAAAGCCAAAATAAAATGAACAAAATTTCACTGATTTACCTTGATAGCTTCGGTACCGGTCAAACGTTTTTGTCGTTCTTGATCTTTCAAAATGAAAAATGGACGACCAAATTCATCAAAAGCTAAATGACCTACACTAGCCATGTTTCAAAAAATGATAATCAATAAAATTTGACAATTTTAAAATGAAAAACAACAAAAATTGAATCAAAGTTTAATTGTGATTCAAACAAACACACACAGATTGAACAATGGAAACAAAAACAGAAAGCGTGTTTTTTCAAAAGGCGTGTGTTGCATTCTATTCGTTTAATCGATTGTAATCGATTAAGCTGTTCATCACCAAACAATACTGCCATCTATATTTGACGATTGTAAATATTGAAACAAGATGACCATCATTCATTGAAGCGCAAGCCTTGAAGAAGAAGAAAAAAAATGCGCGCGCGCATTATATATATAGAAATTACCTTCTGAATCATAGAACGTCTTCCTTTGTGTTTGGGTTTCTTGATTTCCTCATTGCACTCAAAATTCTGCAAGTTTGGCGCGCGATTCTTTCGTTTTTCGTTTTGTTTCTCTCTGGTAAATATTTTTTTTATTCGCCAAACAATCATCATTCGTGCATCATCATCATCTTGAAACTTTATGATTTTCTTTCCTGATTGTTGTTTTTTCGTAATATTGACATTTGTTGAAAAATGAAGAAAAATTTTCACTTAATATTGTTTGGATTCGCTTCGTTTAATATTCGATAACGAAGCAAAGAATTATTATCATCATCATCGGTGTCACCAAACAACCAAAACAACAACAACAACGAAATATTTTATATGGAAATGATGTTAAAATGTCCTCACTTCTTCAAGTTTTTTCATTCTTCATTCTGTTCTGTTATTCAACTAACTAAAACATTTTGAAATTTCAAAAAAAGAATATTCGCTCACATTCTCTCTCTCTACATTATTGAAAAATTTAATTTGCATTTGAATCATCATCATCATCATATCTTGTTTGTTATCATCTTGGATGTGTGTGTGACATACACACACACACACAGAATATTATCGTACGGTTCATTGAATTTCTGTAGAAAATTTTTTTTGGTGAAAATTATCAACCAGATTGACAAACATACATACACAGACAGAGAGATACAGAGACATAAAGAATTTTCTTTCTTTTTTTTTGTTTAAAAAATTCTTTTCAAAAAAAAAACTTTGTCGACATTAGTTTTTTCGACAAAACTTTTCTGTTGTTGTTGTTGTTGTTGCTGTTACTGGGTTAATCCCTGTCTATATTTCGTTTGATGTGAACGAAAAATTCTCATTTTTTTTTCCTGATTGTCTTCGATTCAAAAAAGATACGATTATCGATAATGAAAGAATTCTTCCATTCTTCTGATGAGTTCTTTGAAAGAAGAGAAATTTTCCAGAAAAAACAAAAAAAACGGTTAAATTTTTCAGAAAAAATTTGAATTTTACGTGACCGAAAAAAAGGATTTTTTTCTTCTTTAACAAAAAACTGAAACAACAACAACAGAATCAAATCTGAATGTTTGAATAAAGAAGAAGAATTTGAAGGAAAATTATGTTATCATCATCATTATCGTTATCGTCGTTTTGTCTTTTTGCCATCATCAAAAGTGATAATAAAATCGATCATCATCATCATCAAATCTCTCTCTCTCTCTCTCTCTCTCTCTCTCTCTCTCTCTCTCTCTATAGAATGTATGTCATAAAGATGAGACAAATTTTATCACACAATCTCACA